TTTCTCAAATTTTTTTTTCTTATTATTATTTTTTTTTCTTTTGCAATTTAGAGTTTTATAAATATATTTATTTTAATCAAGATAATCTCTACTGAAACCAATAAAGATAGTTTCTCCAGTATTATTATTAATGTTGTCATCTCAGAAATCCAGATCAATTCAAATTCATAGTAAAAAAAAATTTTTTTCGTTTAGCAAAACGTATTATGACTTTTTCCTTACATTTTTTTAAAAAACGTTCGACTACAATTTAAAATGTTAAAATATGCCCCAAAAATTTATCTCATTCATGATTGTTTTATCACGAAGGATTACATGACATAATATTATGCATTTATAAATTTCATGTCATTCTCATCAAAAACTTTAACAGACAAAATGCTCTTTTCAAAATAAAACTATATTTTTAAGACACTGTGCACATTGGATTTAAGTTACTTTACTTTTACCTCAATGTATTATTTAAAGAAATTATGCTTATTTTTCAATTGAGACTTTTGAAAAAGGGACATACGTGATACATAAAAATGATATGTGATACATGATTACTTCATATATTTTTAATACTTTATATGTTTTAATTTTTACATATTTTTAATTTTTTTAATTATTTAATATATAGTATTGTAATAAATAATGTATCAATCAACAGTCTCTCAGGGGCTAAATCTTTTAATTAGTTAAAAATATCAAAAAAATTCAAAGTATTATCAATTTGTAAAGTTTTAGTCGTTTCTATGATACAATTCATTTTTTAATCATAGAATAAATTTGCAGTATTTCATACATTATATAGTAATCAAACACAGAATACAAAAATATGAAAGGTTCAAAAGTTAAAAATAAAATTGATGAAATTTTGTTTTTAAATAATGCTTTTTTATAAAAAATTGTATTAGAAAAAGAAGAAATAATCATTTAATAAAGAAATGGAAAGTAAAAATAGAAATTATCAATAAATAAAATATTTATTTGTCAAAATGTTGTTATCATGCACTATTCTGCAGTTTTTGCCTATTTAGCAAAAATTTTACTTACTGAACTCTGTTCTTTTTTTTAATTCTAGTATGCTACTATAATTGAAATAAATAGTATTTTTATTAAAAAAATATTTAGCTATTTTAGACTAACAAGCCTAGCTCTCAAGGCAGTTTTTGAGGACAAATATATTTCCTCGCCTGAAGTAAATTACAAACTTACGACTCACCACAACTCAATTTTTAATTGACATTAATGTAATAATTGTATTTGCTGCTTATTCTACTGATTCCCATTTTGAGTCACATTGCACAGTTGCATCTGCATCATCCGGAAAAACTCCCCAGTTTAAATTTTTTATTCATTTACAAGCCGAATACCAGTTCAGCGCATGGGGTAGAAAATAGGAAAGTAAATAATCAATCGATGTTAATCAACATGCACAAGCATGTACCAAAGCAATTAATAAAGTTAAAATAATTTTAAAAAATTATTTATTATTATTTGTTGCTCTTTCCAAGAAATTTCCGTTAGATCAATGTGCTATCCTAATGTTTGAACAAAATTCAATTTTTGTATAATTTTAATTTTTGCATAATTATAATTTGAATAAAAACTTAAAGACTAGTGAAAAAAAAATTCAAAAATAAAAATAAAAGGGATTTAAATATTATTTTATAATTAATTTTAAAGTTGTTAAAAGGTAACGCAACAAACAGGATTTCTAATTTTGCAATTATCTGAAAAAAGTGGTGCGGCACAAAATTAGGGTTTCAATTGAAGTCAACATAAAAAAAATAATATTTAAGAAATGTAAAAATTGAGAAGCCTGTGTAAGAGTCTTTTTTTTTCCGAATTACTTCTACTATTCTAGTTTTCATAGAAGAAACTAGTTTTTAACAAAGTTAGGTATATGTTTTATATTATTGTAATCTCGTCTTTTATCACACGAGGACATAGTTTCTTCTTTCCGCATCCTTTTTTACCATTATTGTCTTTCAATTTTAAGAACTTACTGACTAGAGTCTTTGATCTTGAACTACCTATCATTATCATCGCACTAGCACGAATATTTATTGAAGAAAAAGCTTCTATCGGTTCTTTTCATGATCAGTTAATCTCTTTACCTTTGCAACCAAAACTTCTAAAAAGCGCAATAAAAAATACATAGCAAGAATTCATGGCAAATTTGCAAATAGAAGTGTTTTTCAATCGTCGTAGTAGCCATAGTATTTTTTAATTATATTTATTTCTAAAAATTACTGGTAGCCTTTAAGTTTTTACTCAGGCTAAAATACTAATTTTGATCTTAACAATTTTTTCTACATAATTTTACATAATTGCAAATCTTGTTTGTAGCGTTATTTCTTAATAATATACTTTAAGAATTAAATAAAGGGGATTTAAATTGTATTTTTCGATTTCTCAAACGTTTGCTCTAGTCTGAAAATTTTTACTCAGACAGTACTTTATGTTGTATTTCATTATAGATTGTTTGATTTGTAATTTTCTGCGCATTTAATAGTATTTTTTCACAGAATTGTACACATGATGCTCCGTAAAGACAACTCCTTCGATAAATTTCTAGAATTCTTGTCACAAATGAAGTAAAAAAAAAAAAGGATCACAAATTGATATTTCAGGGGGGGGGGAAGAAAATCAAAACATGACCAAAAATTTATGTTAAGTTGCCGAAAAAACATAGAGGAATTGAAAGACACTTATTTGAGACACTTCAAACTTACTTCGGCAATCAAACTGGTTTGAAAGTTTCAATTCCGTTTATCTTAATAGTGATTCTTACGATTTTCTTGTCGTTTTTTCCCGCTTTTAAATGGTAGTTTGCTATTCAAAATTTGTATAGTTTTTTAAACTTAATTCTTAAAGATGATTCTAAAATTGTATATGAGGAAGTAGATTACGGACCACTCTGCATTATAGAATCAAGATGTTTCTTGATTCTATGATGCAGAGTTTATTCATTCATTAGAGTTGTATTTCTTATTATATATATATATATAATAAGGGCAAGGGTGATATTTTTCCTTTTTTCTCAAGAAGCGTGAAAATAACAGTCTTAAGTATGGTCCCCCCCCCCAATAAATTTTATCTGACGACGCCAATGAACACAGCAATGGAGAAAAAACTAAAGGATGAAATAGACACATTAACACATAGACTGACACATAGACTCTTTTCTTTTAATTTTGAACAATTATTTTGGTTTTGTTTACATATCTAGAATATACTGTTTTTTGACAATAAAATGAGCTGGAAGGTTTTAAATGATACAGGGGGAAAAATGATTGATGGGCAATAACTTTTGACGTCATCAATAACAGTGGATAATGATTTCGATAGTAATCTGTCAAGAAGAGAAATAAGAAGATATGATAAATATATGGTCAATAAAAGACGCATTGCTTTTAAGTGTGCGGTCAGTTTTTTTTAAAACCAGCAGATGACTTTTCATTTGTAAGGAGAAAGGTAACTTGGCCAGCGGTCTGCCACACAAGTTTACTTTGAAAACATAAAGGAATAATATTGTAAGAAGGAAAAAAGGTGAAACGACGTTCATTTTCGATTTTTCTATATTGATATCAGAAATAAATAAAAATGTTTTCAATTTTGCTTTTTTAATATATATGATTGATATTGCGTACTTAAACAGCAGAAACACTTAGTTCCATCTAAAAAAATTGTCGCTGTTGTGGTAAGCTAGTGAATTTTAACCAGTTATAAAGATAAGTTTTTTGAATCCATAATAGGGAGATTTCGCCGTTTTACGTTTGCCTCCGTACGCTCCCATATATAAGATTGAAGCAACTGCACATGCTCGCATTTATTTTAGATGCTACGTATACTTGCGTTATGTTGGCGTGATTTATGCTACAAAAATAAAGCTTAAAGAACGCTATTTATAGCTGTTAAATGTTGTTTTCTGTGTAAGTCTACCAACGAACTAAAAACATGGATATGGAATGTGAACTTGAAAAAATATATTGATGAAATTTAGATATGAATCGAGTATCTTACAATCATTGGTTCATCCAATAAAAAATTAATTTTATTGGTTTAATTAATTATAATTTAATTAATTTGATTTAATTTAATTGGTTTAATTAATTATAATAGTTTAATTGGTAAAATTAATTATTGGTTTTGTTTACACATTATGATTGTCTAATTGTACTAGTTCCATAAAAAAGTAGATATATTTCCGCTATTTCAAAATTTTAAATTATATTCAATTTAAATATATAATTTAGTTAAAAGAAGTTAAATAATATAGAAGTTCATAAATTTGTTTAATTAATAATAATAGTAAGTTGCATTCTTTATCTCTGAGTTCATCAAAATCTACCTAATTTTATAGTTATTATAATTTTATTGCTGAGTTTGCATAATCTACACAAATTTTTCTGCTCGCAAAATCACTGTTTCACGTAATACAAAGCATCTTGAATCATATGCGCAGCTTTAAAGAGATAGTCTACGTTCATTGTAAATGTTTGTATTGATTTTGTGATCTAAGTTAAAATGATATATATCATTAGTGATATATATCACTAAGTTAGCGTTTCTAACCTACGGATTTTTGAAAAATATCTTATTTTCACTTGCTAAACTTGATATTTTTTTACTGATGCCTGCACAATTCCTTGAAATCTTACGTACGGGAGTTTAAGGAAGCTAACGTAAATTTATGAAATCTCCCTAATATTAGTGTTTTTGACGGTGACTTGGACGTAATATCGGATTTCTCGCAATAAGCCATAACTTGTTCTAGAGAACCTTTACTATCTAATGGTCGGTGATTATGGATCATTCAATTTATAACTCAGTATGGAACATTCAGTATGATTCACTGAGAAATTTTCATAAACAGCATAACTCGATTTGAGTGAGATATAAAAAATTTTCTTTCAATTTCTGAAATTTAAAACAAAAAATGCCATAGATTAATAATGAGTTTTCAACAGTTCTGCTCCCACAAGTAAAGGAAGAAAAAATAAACAACATTTTTACAACATACTTTTATTAATCTTAACAACAAAATTTGTTCTACAAATATTCTTCACTCTATGTACAGGATATATAAATAAAAAGTCATCTAAACTAGTCATAGAATTCTTCCATCCGAAATCTTCGAATAGGAAAAAGGCTTGTAAGCGCAGTAGTTGAGGTAGAGGAAACCATCTTTGTCCCTCTCCTCATCATACACTTCTCCCATCTTCTTACTGAAAAACAAAAATCACACTTTAAAATTTAAAACTACACTGGGAAAAACAATTGAAGGGGTAAATGCTTTTTTTTTACTATCAGAAACTAACGAATCATATAAAAAAGTCAAAAACATCATCCGATATGAGACCAAAATACTGGAAAACAAAAATGGGGGCAACCTGTACCCTAATTAAGGAAAACGGTCACTTGTCCAGCTGACCAGCATCTTGTCATCAGTCAGAGAAAAACATGTCAAATAAGATGTATGGTCACCTCTTGCAGCTATACAGGTCTAGCATCAGTGTTTCTTATTGTTTACGGGGGTCTTTATCATTCCCTGTATCCTGGACCACAGAAGTCCTTTTCGACAATGTTAGAGGAACGATATCGACTCCCAATTTCTCTTCAGATGAGAACACATCTCGAGTCGCCATCCAGACTGAATCACGACTCCTCACTGAAGAGGACCTGCTCTCAATCCTTCTCTATCCGAAACAGGTTATCGCGGCACCGTGTTAGATGGTCCTTTTGTGATTTACAGTCAAAGGGATGCAGACTCCAAGGCGTATGGCATACAGGTCACCTGCATTAAGTCTCTGGGGGACTGCTATCTGTGAAACGGATATTTTTGTTGTATTATATAGTAATATGACTGTCGCCGGTCTATTACTTTTGACTAGAAGACTCAATCTGGCATTGATCCTCTTTTGCGGCCTTGGGCTGATCGGCGGACCACTGTTCCCACCTCGATGAGCTGTTTTCACGAACTATGCACTATACTTCTCGAAACCTCGAGATCCATGCAACAGGTAGCCAGTAGTTGGTCCACCTCGAGTCTTTCAACTATCTGCCACCTTTTTACATCATCTAGACAATGACACCAGTCTGGACTAACGATGTGTAAACAAAAAAATTTAAAAGCCAAGGATTGAACTAAGCTACAATGTTTCAAAACATCCTTACAATACAAGCTTCGGCGATCAAATGTTGTGGCTCTGCACAAACGCGACCACAACGTCACTGCCTTACGATGTCACAAGCCATTACGTGACAGTGGTATCAGCGAAAAGTTTAGCTATCATGTGTTACCTCATCTGAGTATGGACGTTTTGTTCTTTTCTAAAAAAACGTTCTTCCCTTTAATTGTTTTAATTAGCGTACATAAAAGATATTAAACTCGCAGAAAACCTAGCATTTAAGCTTTACCAAAGCTATGACAGCCTGTTTGCATGTTTACGAATAGTTTTATTAACTTACGCTTGTCTTCGTTTGCATCATTTAAAATATTGTCATTATTTTGTCTACCATTTCTTTCAGCTGCTTTGGAAAAGCGTACTCAAATTATAATACAAAAAGAAATTGCAAAATGTCTGAAATTATTAAAGTTGCCTCTGGCAAGAATAGATTTGAATGTAAGCATATTTGGTATCTTAGATCGATTTTGTTAACAGTTAGAAAACAGTAGTTCTGGATTACTTTGAAAGTAAAAGCTCATCGTCGGCAATGAGGTGAACTGCTGTGTCTGCTGTGACAAACATGTTCCTTTGCACCATCATGGTGAAATCAGCCACACTCAGATCCCTAGGGATGAGGTACTTCTCCTTCTGTGAAGTGGGTGATGTAACATCTGGTAGCTTCTCCAATATCACCTAAATATATCACAAAACAAATAATTACATACTTTCACAACGGGATAGTCTATTTACAGGGAATAAAAGTGAAGCTTAAAATCATCAAGTCGAGATTATATTTATACCAGTTTTAAATTCATATTGTTAAAAAAAAATGCTGTAAATTAAGAGTGTTTTTGAGCATGGCATATTTTACATGAATAGATTAATAAATTGCGCAAAATTGTGACTAATGCATGTCACCCTGAACCTTCCACAATAAAGAAAATGCCGAATTTCACTGGTGAATGTCAACAATCACATAGTCACTTTGGTGAATGTCCGAAATATTTGCTCTATCCGATTTGATATTAATTTATTCCTTGAATTTCAATATCTGCTGAGGATAGATTAGGAGAAACATCAGTGTATGGAGTACCAGTTAAATGAGTACTGGGCAGTGACACTTGACCTTAAAAAAACATCAATGTAAGGTATACCGGGCGGTGGCACTTAACTAGACCTAGTATATATTTCGGACATTTACGAAAGTGACTATGTGATTGCCAATATTCACCGGAAAAAGTAAACAACCACTCATTTCTGTCATTCACAGTAACAGATATATATCAATCTGCGAGCCAACAAACAAACTCACGCTGTTTCGAACTTGATTGTGAACAATCTAATGACGATATCCATAGTACGCCGAAATCGGAGTGTTTAGAAGTAAAAGCAATTCACATAGGGTATGAGTTTGGTGTGTAAGCATTTTATATTTTTAGCATTTAGATTTAACTACATTCTTCAAAGTAAATGAGCACTTGATTTGGAGTTAACTTTAAATGTTCCTTCGCACAATTGTTTGGGTGGTTCATCATCTAATTCCATGAGATGTTACACCACTGTTTTTACACTGTAGACAATCGCTTAGTAGAGGCATACAGCCAGAAAAAATTCTAAAATATTATTTTTAAGTATTAAAGTTGCCTAATATAATGGACGCTAGGTCTCAAGAATTAAAACTAGAACAATTATGTTTTGTACTTACAGGTATACTGTTAGGATACTGGCGAAGAATCTCCTTCGACTCCTCCCTCCTGACTTCTGCAAAAGAAAAAGACACTATAAGCTCTAGAAATTGGGTAATTGTACTTCATGAAGAAGATCATGTTACCCACACATGTGATCTATGACGTCAGGGCAAGCTGATCGTTTTATTACATTTTATTTTATAACCGTCGTTGCACAGCCGACCCAATTTTTCGGGTTTACTACTACTAATGTTATGTAAGCACGAAATATATAGTGAAAGAATATAGAATGAGACACTTAAGAGAATCGATACTTGACTGACTTGATTTACTCGAAATGGACTGGAAAGAGCAGTTGCTAATGTAAACAAATGCCGCGTTTCAACTATCCATCAGGATCGAGACACCACACTACGTCACTTGCAGGTAATCCATTTCAAAATTTGTTCGATTATGAATTGCGGAATTAGAGCTTTCAAAAATCGCATTGTTATTATTGTTATTATTATTATTATTATTATAGTTTTGCGAAATTTGTTCGATTATAAATTGTAGAATCAGAGTTTTCAAAAATACTATTATTATTTTGCATTTAAAAATTTGTTCGATTATAATTCACAGATTCGACGCTCTCAAAAATCGTACTTTTCTTGTTTTTTTAATTGCAAAATTTGTTCTGTAATGAATTCCGGAATCAGAGATTTTATAAATCGTATTAATGGAAAGCCGGCCAGGTGGCCGAGCGGTTTGCGCGCCTGACTGCGGAGCCAATGGCTGCGTGTTCGAATCCCGCTCTGAGTATGGATATTTCTCTCTATGTGTTGTCCTGTGATGCGTGAGTGTGGCTCACCCTATGAACGGGTTTGTGGCAGTGTGGCGCGGGTAATGTTGCTCGCCTCCGTGAGTTTGGCTCACAGGTGCCCACTGGGTAACGTGAAAAGAGTAACAATTCCGACAATTTCTAAGGCGAAGAATAAAGTTCAGTGCCTGCCATTTGAAAAAAAAAATCGTATTATTTTTAAATTCAAAATTTGTTTGGAAACGTTGGTTAAGAAACTTAGAATGGTCCGGAAAAAGCTAACGGAATCAGAAGATTCAAACATCGTATGTATTTTTTATTATAAGCTTTTTTCGATTGTTATTAGCGAAAGCACGTCGATTTGAAAACAAGCCATTAGAAATTACTTCAATTTAAGAAAAATTGCATTTTCGATCTTCAGATTTCATAGTAAAATGAAACAAAATTAGGTATCAATAATTGTTGGGAATGAAATAACCATTTCTTAGAAGCAAGGTGATAACAAGCTGAACATTTTCTAAATGAAGACAATGCTATGAAAACATTTAACAAATTTTTTCCTTTCAGAGTGCCGAAAGATTTTTTTTTCATTTCTTCAATAATTAACATTTTTAATCTTTTTTTTTGTATTTCTGCTTGGTGAAAAACATAGTATGGTATTTTTTTAATGAAAAATATGCATTAATTTCCCAAATTTCTAAGCATCCTGAATTTTTGTTGAATTTACTTAGTTATTTCAAGATAAATAATTTGTTTTAAAAAATAATTACAAAAAAAAATGTTAATACATATTTGAAAACTTGTATTTTTTTTTAAAAATTATTTTTAACCTGTGTTTTAGCATATAAAAACCTATTTAATGCATATCATTTCAAAAATTAAAGTTCACTTTAGATTTTTTCTGTTACAGTTCACGTATTTTTTATTTGATAGATTTTTAACGTTATTTTCACGTTTTTTTTATTTAATAGATAGATTCAATAATCAGATTTTTATTTCATGATATGTAAATCTTTTTACGATTGAAACGTCAAATTTCATAAATATAATAGTTCATTGGAACGAACTATTAAGTTGAAAAGTCAGAAAGAAGAGATACTTTTAATAAATAAGCTTACACTCGAATTTTTGATCCTTAAAATAGAGAGAAGTAGTTTAAGTAATATTAAGTAAGTTTCAATAATTTAATCAAGATAGTGAGTACCTTTCATGTGAGTACCTTTACCAAGCGGTACCTTTCATGTTATTTCTTACGTATTTCAATATATCTCTAAAACTAATAATGTGAATCGAAAAATTATTGTTATTATTTGCAAATATTCTTTCTAGTAAAGTAATTCTATTATATAATAACATGAAAGGTACCGTAATTATATAACGCTACATTTTAAGATTAACTTATTTGAATTAGTCTGAACTTATTAACCGCTTCAAAATTATTATTTTTTGATATAAATTACACTAGTGTGCCATTACAAACTAGCGTTATGAAATTATTTAAATCAAAATCAAAAATGGTAGTTAGTGAAAGAAAATATCCATTTAATTTTTATATATAAATTTTCAGCCATTATTTTATAATGATACTGTGTACACCTCTGTACTTAAGTGTTCCTCCTGTGAAAGGAATAAACAAATTTCAAAACCCAGTTTCACGTAGATCGATTTGTGAGTCCAAAGTCTATACAGAAGAACTATTATAGATGTGTAGACGTTTAAATAATTTTCTTCAATGTACTTAGAAATATAGATAATAAATTTACGTCGATCACAGCATTTATTTTAAATAATAATAAATACACTTCAGTTTGCTGAAGGTTTCTCTTTCATTATATTAAGAATTATAGGATATAGATTCGCATAGAATATCATAAAAAATATTATAATTAATTAAAGAATTATAGATGTGGATTTGTAGGTTCTTGATAATTATACAGGTTATTTGCGAAAAATGCTTCGTTTTTTATACTATGGTAGAGCAATAGAATATTGTGCTTAATATAAAAAATAATAGTAATTATCATAATCAATTTATTAATCATATATGTAGATATACAGGTGTTTGATAAATATATGGAATACTTATTACGATTGGAGAAATATTAGGTTTTTCATGATTTATAAATAAAACTGTAGTAGATAAATTTATATAGATTATCATATTAATTATCATAATGCAGATTTACAGGTGTTTGATAGCTATACCGATTATTGGTCAAAAGTATTGCATTTCTTTAGTTTAAATAAACCCAAAGATATAATTATAGTAATTATCACAATTAATTATAGAAATCAACGAAAATTTATACATATTGAATATCTTAGTAGAATCACAATTAATCATAGAATTATAGATACAGACAAGTTACAATTTTGTAGGTGTGTAATAGTTGTATATGTTACCGCTTAAGTGCAAAAATTAATTGTTATACAGATTATCTAAACTAATGTGGAAATTAATTATCGTGACTGGTTAAAGTGCCGTATATCTTAAGAATTAAGTTATAACAATCAATATTAATATTAGATATGTAATATGCACATTAGTGGCTTTCTAGCTTTAGCAGGAACATTTACGAAGTGCATTGCGTTTCGATCACTTAGATTAAACCGAAGAAGTAATCATAGTAATTATCTCAGATAATTATAGAAACGAAAAGAGATATGTTAGAATATCATAGTAAGATCGCAATTAATTATCGAATTTCAGGTATCGAGATGTTGTGATTTTGTAGGTGCGTAATATCTGTATGGATAACTTACAGAATATTTTGCGTTTCTTGTACTTGGAAGATAGAACTATAGAAGATAGATTTACATAGATTATCATAGTAATTATTATAATCAATTAAAGAAAGTTTGTTTGAAATTAATTTTTAATATTATTTACAGCTATATAACAAGTTATTGGTAGATATTAAGAATAAAAATTTTTTTATGTTGTACAAAAAGTCACGAAATTCTAAGAAATTGTGTCATTATATACATCATTGTTTTTTTAATTGAAATTAAGAAGCAGTCAAAATGACCTCCTTGGGCAATCTAGTGTTAATCTTTCTCTCGCGTAGATGTTTTTCGATTGTCTTAGAATAGATGATAGAAGAATAGATATAGATTACCATAGTAATTATCTCAATTAATTTGAGAAACGGAAGAAGATTAAATATAATAATACGATTGGTTACGAAGTTATAGATATTGGTTACAGATGTTATTGTATACAGCTCTGCAATTGAAAAGAAAACAACAACTCAAGTGCTGCACAATCACATTAGATTTTGATAAGAACTGCTTCCCTTGCTAATCAACGCTAAACTAGAATTTCAGGTAACTGATAAAAAAAAAAAAAAAAATTTTTTTTGAACGAAAATCTTTTTGCAATTTGTGGCTTATCTTAAAAAATGCCAAATATATAAAAGACTCAATTTCTAATTTTTTTTCGTCTGATTTTTCCATCGCAGGACAGTATAGGTGTTTAACACTAGAAAGACTGAAATTTACTATATACCTATATTGCCCAAAAGTAGTCAAAATAACTGCATTGTGAAAGAATAACTAATATGTAAAGAAATTTGTTTTATTAATTTTTTATATTTTTTATATTATTTACAGCTATATAACAAGTTATTAGTAAATATCAACAATAAAAAAATTTACTTCAATTGGAAAGAAAATATTAATTTATGCATTATTATTTGTACATTTTTCGCAAATGAAAAAAAAAAAAAAACAGTTAAAACGCAGTCAAAATGACTTCCTCTAGACAACCTAGTGTTAATAATCCGGAAGATAACAACTTACTGAATGTTTTGCGTTTCTTGTACTTCCACTCTGTTTTGCCAGGGCTCCTAAACGTGAGATCACTGCAGTCAGATTCTGACCGGTCGCTCGAGGAAATCGAGGGCGACCTGGAGAAATAGTTCCTTACATTCAATGAATAGCTCTTCTCGGCGATTTGCACTCGCCTAGCGCTATTATAACACGAAACGTACGACAGTTTTGTAGTGGGCGGCCGAAACCTTAAAAAGTAAGATGAAAGCGAGCACTGAGCAGCAACTGCTGGATTTGCCTCCTGCTGGCTAGAAAGAAGTGATAAGGGCAAAAATGATCCGTTTTTATGCGGAATCCAGACTGCGGTGACGATTTATCTAATCAGTTCAATTCTTTTGTTGACGTAAAAGATACCTAACAGATATTGCATCGATTGCCGAATCTTTACAACAGTGCTGCTAGTAGGAATCCGAAAAGAATTTTACTGTCCTATTTTGAAAAAAAAAGAGTTTAAAGAAAATTTATAATTTTGTAAGCAATTGATTTTACATAATTTTATTAATACAGTATATTCTTGATATCTCAAATTTGAAGGCCGCTAAAAAAATTTCGAGATAACAAAGTTAGAGCAGAATATGTTCTAAAAAGATAAAAAAAAATATAGTCTGGTCTGAAACATTACTCTAAAAAGTAGAGTTATGAAACATAAGAAAAACTACAATTAAATATACATGTAATGATGACAGTTGACTGCAAATTTAAATGCAGCAAAGATAACTTTATTTTTAAAAGTAAGACGAAAAATAATTATCCATTAAATAGAAAATTGATTTATAATGAACTTACATCGTGGTTTTAGTGAAATGTTGTTATGTCAATATATTGACATAACAACATTTAAACCTTGTATGTCAATATATATATATATATATATATATATATATATATCATGTTAAAATCTTTTAGAATTGATGACATTTTTAACAATACAAAATTCGGATTTANAACATGATATATATATATATATATATATATATATATATATTGACATAACAAGGTTTTCTAGATATCAAGAGTACACTGTAATTGGTTTTAAACTTTTCTGTTATATTGGATCGAAAATAGTTCTGCAGTGCGTTAATTGCTTTAAAATTATAAATAGTTATAAAAAGTAGCCCAAATAATATTGAAATGCATTTTTTTTAATCACATATATGGTATAAAAAATTATAAGGAAGTAGAATTAAAATTTTAAGAAAATTTTTTTTTAAAATCTAATTTAGCAAATAAAACTCTAATAAGCGATGTGTTGACAATTAATCTACATTATTAACACAAAAACCTTACCCAGGGTGTAGTCTTAGAAAAATCGCATTGTGGTAGCGAATAAAAAACAAACTTAGATAATTTAATACATTAATTACGACAACTAAATATTATGTTTGGAGGAAAATATATCTGAAGGAAAACTAAGGGCTACGAGATGACTTAAAGCTACATTTTAAATTCGCGTAATGTTAGCATTAACTTGAATTTACTAGAAATGTTAACCGTGGGAGTCATACAAATATTGACCTGTCTATGCTAGTCAAGTGTAGTCATTTGATCTTATAAGTTCAATATCTCTTAATTAAAGAAAGGCATTGAAAAAGTGATTATCAAAATATATAATAAGCATAATCATTTATGACATATTATCTATGATTGGTCATAAGGATGAATAAGAATAATATAAAGCAAACATTAAGACGTTACTTTTAAAACATGTAAATACTGTATTTTAGTTTGCAACTTAACGCTCGTGTTTTGTCCTGTAACTACCATTATGAAGCTATAACCCCGTTTTGCCAAATTGCCCAAATTTACAGAGAATATTTAAATGGTAAATAAAAAAAAGTATTTTATTTTTGTTACACTAGATGCATGTCAACACACCTCTCCCTAATTCAAAAATAAGGGAGTTGGGAGCTACTATGGCCCGTTTTCAGAAATAATTAAAAACTTTCAACTGCTCTCCAGGTCGGGATAACCTTGTTGACAACGTGCTGGACTCGCGTTCGTGAGAACGAGGGTTCGAATTCAGACGGCTGAAAACTCCCTGGTGCATGTTAAATCTGTCGGATCACAAAGTACTCCATGTTACCATTACAAATTATACCCCTGGGGGGATACTGAATTGGAGATTGATAGTTCTCTGGTTCAGGTCAAAATTACGATCTGTGGATGTATGAATGGGGCCGCCCAATAAACGGGTGTGACGTATGGGTGTGGTAGAAGTCGGATCCTTGGCCACAGATGACGCCACTGGAAAGTAAGAACAATCCTTCCTTAAGGGCCTACCACAACAACAACCGCTCTCCTGACTAAACTGTTGGGGGATCAAATTTTCCAAATAGTTGCTATCCTTCATATTAGGATAATGAAAAACTCAAATCTGCTGAAATAAAGATATGTTTATTCAGAAGAAGCATGCTTCTTCTGAATAAATTGCAATTCTGTCTTTATTTATTAATTTTATTAAAAATTGTCATTAATTATTTAGCAGTTTGATGTTTTGTACCATTTAGATTGACATTTAGTTTGTGAAAATTGGGATGGACCAGAGACCCGGTGATTGATACTAAAACGTGAAAATCCAAAAGGCTCATGCAGATTCAGAAATTCCATTGTGTGAAAATTCATAATACTTCAAAATTAGTAATCCTTCAGTGAATATCAAAAGGTTATTCAGTGTACTACCTGTACATTCCTTTAAAAAAAGTGTGATTTAGAAAAACAATGCATGCCGTGTAAAATGAACGAAAATGCCATCGAAATCGGTTCGCAGTTTCCTGAGATATCTTATATCAGAATTTAGCAATTTTCCATAGATTTAAGCGTTTTCACAGAATAATGGAAGTGGGCTGTACGCAGTTTAGGAAACAAAATATTTTTTTCCGTTTCTTTATTTCTTAAAAAAAGGCTCTAGAGTAACATTACTCCTTAATCAAGATAAAATCGGTCTGAAAACAATTTCAAAATCGATGTTTTGTACACGTGTATATTCAATGTATGCTGGTTGCACACCTATAGGCTTCTTCTGGAATTGATGGGGATGATTTTGTTATCGGAATTTGGTAAGAATTTGCTTTCTTATCTCAATTTAACCATTAACGTCTTTTAACAGACTTTTTATCTTAAATGTCAAAATTAAACAAGTACGGCAATTTTACCAGAACTCTTTTCTTCGTGTAGGGGAAATGTTTGTTTTCTAATGGAATTTATCATTCAGTAACATGTAAAGTAAAATAAAGTTGTTTCGATAACTTGTCAGAGTACCAAATGAAGCTTTTTAGCTAATAATAATGATGTAAAATATGTAAAGCATAAAGAAAGGAGGAAATCATAACACTTATATTAAATAACCTTATATCTTCCAAGTTACTACCAAAAAAGTAAAATAAAAGAGTCGCTGCGAATGACAATTCCGTTGTTTGTTTTTTTCTATATGACATATATTTATCATTTTAATAACATCACTGACACATATTTATCATCTAAATCTTTACAAACTTTGTTGCATTTTTCGTTAAATGGGGAAAAAACCGACTTATTTAAAGAAAGGCAAAATCCCCTTACTCCATTTACAAGCAATTTAGTAAAAAAAATATTCTGAAAAAATTATTTTAATGTTCAATTTAATTATTGATTGATGAAATCAACAAATTCGATTTTTGAAACATTAAAAGTGATTATATGACATAATTTTACGACATAATCAAAAGGCATCAAATACTGATTAAATTTGGGTGCTAAAAATAGCTTCTTCTCCACATAAATTCGTAGTAGCATTAAAATGCTAGAAAAAAATATTTACAGCAAAAAACATGATTGATAAAGCACTTATAGTTAAACAGTAAAACCAGTTGTCCTTAAATCATTTTATTAGTGTTTGCAAGAAAAGTTTTAAGCAACTACTTATATAAGTCCAAATAGTTTGTCCTTACGAGGAACTGATGTTGTTTTCCCCTCTATGCACTGAATATTTATTTATTTCATTTTTAATTATTGTTTTGTTTATGAATCCAATGATTCAAAAATTACTCGTTTACTTCATTTCACCTTTTTGTCTGAATATTATTAATGTCTACACCATGCACTGTACAGAAATAATTTTACAGAAGTGATCACGTCTAAAAAAATACTTATTTATTTTATTTTTGACAAGCTGAATGCCCGATCTTCGTACGGGATGAAAAGAATAAGCATCAACAAATCAGTTCTGAAAAGCACTGCAAAATCAGCACTGTAAGACAAATACAGACACAAATAATAAAGCTGAGGGTGTTATAACATTATTTTATTATTATTTGTCGCCCTCCTCGGTAACTTTACGTTATTAGTTAAAGCAAAACATGCATTTAGTAACTCATCCCATCAAAATAAAGATTAACTGTATGCACTATCATCTAGCATAATGCTGTTGCTCGAGGCAACTCATGATACTTTGCCACACTCAAGCAACTCTCTCCCGTACTTATATCTTCGAAGGGCTTAGAAAATCTATCATAAGAATGAACAGCTTTGGCGTAGTTGCAATTGGCATCAAATTTACTCATAAAATACTTTCTACCCATATAAGAGTATATTTTGTATCCATTAAAACTTAACCAATTACCACGACGTCAGTTGTGCCTATTACCAAAATTAATCATCATCGGAGTCAAGAATAGTATGGCGACTTTTTACAGTTCTCCATACAGACATTTTCTCCATTAATTTGGTTTTTCATTTCATAGCTTATTTTTTTTTCAATTATTACCAAAATTAATTAAACATCATTGACGTCAACAATAGTTTGCGGATTTTTTATGCTCTCTAACAGGGTTTAGTAACATTTCTCCATTAATTTTACTCTTTATAGTGCATAGCTTATTATTTTACTTCATTTAGTAACTACTAATTACCATTGGCATCAATAATAATATTTTTTTTTGTTTATTCTCAATGAATTAGTTTCATTTCTTCATTAATTTTGCTTATCAGGGCAAATTTTTTAAATTTCAATTACCGTTGATTTTAAATTGGTTAATTTTATAGTAACACGTTTTGAGAGAAGAACTATTATATACTTATTGAGAACTTATAGAGAACTTATTGAGAGAACTATTAGAGAACTATTATATACTTATTGAGAACTTATAGAGAACTTATTGAGAGAACTATTAGAGAACTATTATATAAACAAAATAATTAGTTGGTTTGAAATATCTTAGTAATACTTATTTGGTGACGTTTTGCTGCATGATCACTTTGATCCTTCAGATAGCGTGGCATAACGAATAAAAANTGATCTTTCAGATAGCGTGGCTTAACGAATGAAAAATAAGTAAGTATCACAGAATGCACCATAAACAATTTTTTTGATTAGAGCTTTAAGCTAGCAAATATCATTTTAAAAGGTTTTACGAAACTGAATCGTTTATAGTTCATTTTCAAACAATGGCTTCCACTAAGCCAATGAGAATATTCCATTTCTTAAATGTCTCTGAATTTAAAATATAAATAAAAAATCACAAACAGGTCTTCGTCATTTGTTTATTATTGTACTCATTCAGCTTCGTGTCGAATGTCGTATTTTTAGAGCTTACGGTTTTTACTAAAATCCTGTATACAGACGCACACGAACTCTTTATTTTACTATATGCATAGATTATTGTTTCGAGTATGGATTTAATGATTCAAATATTTCACGTTTACTTAACTTCTCTTTTTTTTTTGTTGCTTTAATTTGTTTTGTTTTTCAATTTAGACTTCTAAAAAAATGAAGCATAGAAATATAGACGCTTCCAAACGAGTATGGTAAATAAAAAGTTTTGAGGGAAACCGCTGTTGTTATTATCTTATCCAAGTAGTGCAGAGGAATCAAATAGCACCAAAGACGTCCACAACGGTTCGGGCAATACATAGAAAGGAGATTCTCCGGAGCCTACTAGATAGGACTTCTGCCTGTTAATCCGCAGAAAGTATTTTATTTCCCTTCTACCACCCCAAGAAGGATCCAATGGATGGTGTTTTCTATACTAGGGTGCACTGCAAGGTTTTTACTGCTTACATTTCCGGGTTACTGTTTCCGGTATATTTTGAAGCTATTGGCTCACAATGTAATTATTGTGTTTTGAAAATCCTTTGAGCAGTATTTCTGGCATACGTATGTTTGTTACCTGATTTATTATTTGTATTTAAAAAAAGAATCGTTACAAGAATCGTCATTTGTAAAAACGAATTGCTTTATAAAACACTTCTTACCTTGTCAACACTATACCAACTTCGAAATTTAAACCTAAATGATAATTCGTAAAATGAACTTAATCTCGCTGCTGGAACAATATGCTAATACTAGCGAATGATGGTGCTCGGCTTACAACAAGAACAAACAGTAATAAACAAGTGAAAAGAGGCCAATCCGGAACTGTCAATAAAGATAGCTCTTTCTAAATCTAGCAACCATGTCACCTTTTTTAAACAATACATCTATCAATATCCAAAACAAACTTTCACTTCAAACTCACCGAAATGACCTAATGTCATTAATATCTAATGAAATTTAGCAGATTTGAGCTCAGAAATTACATAATTTATTTCTGTTATTAAAAACAAAATTATCCTTTTGAAAATATCACTTCGCATAACAAGCTGTAGTGAGCAGCTGTATACTTTCTAACCGGAAGTATAACGGGTCAAGAGCTCGAGATTGTTCTTATTTACATTTATATTGAAAACACCATCCATGGAGGCATTCCCCTATCCTCATTCTGGGAACGCGACCTATAGGGGTTACAAGCTCCCATAAGGGGAAGGAAGCTTTTTTAATTTTTATATGCTCCAGCTCCATATAATGAAAACTCTAATTGAATAAGTTTGAGTGCTCTATAAATCTAGTTTAAATACAATGGAAAAATATTACCTATCCAGCTGCCTCGACACCAGTGACCAATATTTGCTGAGAGTACTAAATGACTGCAACTGGTTTATCTGTTACCATTACTTTTTCGTCGAAGCTGAAACTACATATCAAAATCAATGCTTAAGAAACGTCTCAATCCCTTTACAGTGTTTTCACGAGACGTAACTCACGTAACTATTTATTATCAACAAGGAATGTCACGTTTTTCGGGAAAGAAAACTAAGGTTGTTTGGGTTCCCTAAAAACAAATACTTCGAGATAGTTCTGTTTTCTTTCATTAACCTTCTCAAGTATAATTTATTTCCCTAAAATTCTCTCACGAATGTTTTGCACGTTGCGCAAAAAAGTAAACCTTTAATAACTTTTAATCTAATGATCGGATCATGTTCTAGAACTCTATCTCACATTAATTAACGTGTATTAGATTAGGTCCTCGAACCGTTAAGATTGAATCTTAGTACGTAGAGATATGATGATTTTATAATAAGTCTTTAAAGATTGTGGCTTTTTTTTCTGAGCACTCAACGAGTTATTTTACAAGATTTTAATTTATATACAAGATTTCGTAATTTGAAATATCTTTTGCTTAAATTAATTAACTTGTATTAGATTAGGTCCTCGAACCGTTAAGATTGTATCTTACTACGGAGAGATATGATGATTTTATAGAAAGACTTTAAAGAAAAAAAAAATTTTGTGTTTTTGTGTTTTTTTTGTTGTTGTTTTTTTAAACTTTTTTTTTAGTACTCTACAAGTTAGTTTTACGATCAGTCCTATAAATTGAAGTTTTGATTATTATGCAGAAAAGTACTCAGAAAGTTTGCCTTTTCATACCATTTGATATTTTTTTGCATATCGTTAATAAATATTTATTTATTACCCTTGAAATTTTTTTAAACTTCATCCTCGGAATAGAACTTGTAAGTAATTGCGAAACTAAGCATTTTTATGCTAGAATTGACTTTTGGAAATTGTTCAAACCACAGAAAACAAACACTCAAACATCCCCGTAGTTATATAAATAGATTCCAAGTAACAACACGATAACAGACATTTCGAACTCAATTATTTGATTATGACAATGCTTCCCCAGCTCTCACTGAAACTCGATTGCTTTCTTATCACTGAGACCTTGTTGTTGCCAACTGCACAAAGTGAAAATATAGAGAAAAAATCACCTTATCATTTTATTTCTGATAGCAAACTTCACGAAATCAATTGTTTCCAGGTGCCCTTTTTTATCCAGCTATCAGACTATAGTTATTTTTTTCAGTGATAATCTTAGTTACTGATATGGGAAAAAGAATTTTAAGTAACATTAAAACTTGTTAACGAATCGTAATTTGTAACAGAAGTGAAGTATAAAAAAACATTGAGTTATAAAAATAATCTCAAAAATAATGTAAAATTCTATCAATTACATTTTTCCATAGAAGAAAGTGGTATTTTGACATGCATAAAGGGCAATATTTCGTATGGGTCGTAATACAAATTCACGCGGGCGCTTTTTATTCTGATAATGTCTATCTAAAGATATGACTAAGATTTACATGACTTTAGTTTCACTTTAGATCTCTGTAAGAGCTGCTTCACTTCATTATAAGCTTTTTCTTCTCTCGGTTGTTTTCCTGTTTGGTAAGTATTTCTTTTAATCTCTGCGTAACATAAACACATACTGACCTTAGACTGTTTGTTATTGCTGTTGGGGGCCATATTGGGCAGATAATAACATGGTTCGACATTTAATAAAGTACTTGAAATTGAGGGCTGTCATGAACATTAGAATATATTAATTAAAAGAATATATTAATTAAAGTTATGTAAATTATTAATTCATTTCTTATTTTTAACGGCACTTTTTAATCTGTTCTGTTTTTGATTATTGATAGATAGATATTTTTTCTGTATGAGCAAGTATTATACTTTAGAATGTTAACTCTTCATTTGCTTTATAAATGTTGGAATAAGCGCACATTCTCAAGACTCATCAAAAGTTAAAAAGTATCTTTTGAAGTAGTTTTTTATCCTTCGACAATCGTGTTTACGTGCTGTGTGAGTGTTGTAGATCAGCAAAGACGAGATCAATAAAATATTACATAAATTGCCTAAATTGTTCGTCGTACAGGAAGGGCAGCTATCAGAATAAAATTTACAACGATATATATATTAGGGTAGCTTTTTAAGCAAGGGCTGTTTGAAAATAAAAACTAAACGATAAATCAATTTATAGAATTAAATTTATTTTAAGATTCCACATACGTTTCTCTTTTTTTCAGCATAGTTGCCAAGTTTATTTAATAACTCATCATACCTTATAACTAGATTTAGAATACCCTCTTCATACAAACTTGCCGCCTACTCCGTTAATCACACGGCCGTTTTCACGTATTCGTTATCGTTGTAGTGATTACCACCAAAATGATGTTTGAAGTATCGGAAAAGACGAAAATCACTCAGCGCGAGGTCTGGGCTGTACGGAGGAGGGGTCCAAAACTTCCCAACTAAAAGAGTCCAATAAAGCTGGGATCTGAGCTGCGGAGAGAGACATTGTAATAGAGTAGTAAAACTCGCTGTCAGCATGGCAGGGAATTTTTCTATCTCACAAATCTGCCAGTGAATGAATGTATGCAGCAGACAGGTTTTTTTTGCTGACTAAAAACGTATCACTGACAGTATCTCGTGCGTGGCTGACTATTTGTTAAACTTGAACATTTTAAAGAAGCAGAACTTGCCGTACAGTTTACCTACACAGCTGAAAGTGAGCACATTTCTTCTCAAGGAATGCGTTGCGCACACTTCACCTATTGGTGATCTGTATTTTATATGATTGGTGATTTGTATTTTATATATATATA